GAAAAGACATTCATAGTGCTAATAAATGCTGCATTGGAAATCCAGTCCTGCAAGTGCTGCGACTGCTTTTTTTTATCCCAGGGTCCTGAGTGCCTCACACAGGGTCCGGCGCAGAGTGTGTCTGTAATAAATACTTGTTGGGTACATGATGATTAAGGAAAAAGGCTGTCATGAAGTTCTGCACAGGACTGAAATACAATCCACAGAAACTAGTTTGGTAATCACTCAAGTCTGCACCCAGCTAAACGTTTTTTCCCTCACCAGACAGCCAACGTTTAATAGCATTTGCATGTCAAATGGGATGCAGTAGCCTATTTGGCAGTGAGGGAAACAGGAAAGGAATTAAGGTGCCAAGAGCAGTGCTTGCGACTGGATGAGATTTTTCTAAATGCACAAGATTTCTTCCCTCCAGGAGCTTCCAGACCACTTGGAGGGAAGCAATATTCAATATTGCTTATTGACCCCTCCTATGGACAAGGTGCTGTACTTTAGGTGTAAAATGATGAGCAAAAACAGACCTGTTGTTTTTTTTTTTTTCCACGTGAGAGGGGTGGGAAACAGACATCAAATAATCCCATGCACAATAACAATAGCCATCACTTATACAGTGGTTAGTATGTGCTAGGCATATTCTTAGTACTTTACATAAATGAACAAAATCCTACTGTGAGGTGTATTCTTACTATCTTTTTTTTATAGATATGGAAATTGACACAGAGAGGTTAAGACGCTTTCCCAAGGTCACACAGCTAGTCCAGGCTATCTGACACCAGGGTCTACCTTTGAATCGCCCACTTGATTACATCCAAGCTGTGCTGTGTGGCATAAACAAATTTATAAACATGAGTGCCACAAAGGGAAGATGGATGGTGCTATAAAAACATATAACAAGGGATCCTGCCTTGTCTCAGGGGACATCTGAAGGCTGAGGGGGTGTTAATTAAGCAAAAGGGGGTAGGCGAGAGAGACAGACACAAAACTGGTAACTACAGAAGGGAAAGTATGGAACACTTAGTCACCTGGATGCAGTTCATCAGTAGGGGTGGTGAGAGCAGTATGTGGGAAAAGGAATCTGGAAAGATCTCCCGGAGGAGACAAACATTGAAAGATTTTTTTTTTTCTTTTCTTTTTGAGAACAGGGTCTTGCGATGTTGCCCAGTCTGGTCTTGAACTCCTGACCTCAAGCAATCCTCCTGCCTTGGCCTCCCAAAGCACTGGGATCACAGGTATGATCCACAGTGCCCAGGTGAAAGATGGGTTTAGAGCAGTGGTCCCCAACCTTTTTGGCACTAGGAACCAGTTTCATGGAAGACAATTTTTCCATGGACCTGGGTGGGGGGAAGGGGGGAAGGTTTTAGGAAGATTCAAGCACATTACATTTATTGTGCACTTTATTTCTGTTATTATTACATTGTAATATATAATGAAATAATTATACAACTCACCATAATGCAGAATCAGTGGGAACCCTGAGCTTGTTTTCCTGCAACTAGAGTCTAGCTTAATGTTTCAATATGAGTGTGCAAGCAATTGATTTATTATGCTCTGTGCAGTCAAACCTTTCTGCTAATGATAATGTGTATTTGCAGCCACTCCCTAGAGCTAGCATCACCACCTCAGCTCCACCTCAGATCATCAGGCGTTAGAGTCTCATAAGAAGCACGCAACCTAGATCCCTCGCATGAGCAATTTATAGTAGGGTTCGAGCTCCTATGAGAATCTAATGCCCCCGCTGACCTGACAGGAGGCGGAGTTCAGGTGGTGATGCAAGCGATGGGGAGCAGCTGTAAATACAGACGAAGCTTCGCTTGCTTGCCTGCCACTCGCCTCCTGCTGCGTGGCTGGGTTCCTAACAGGCCATGGACTGGTACTGGTCTGAGGCCCGGGGCTTGGGGACCAAAGGTTTAGAGGGCAGAAAAGAGAGAAAAGGAAACATCAAGAATTCAGAATGAGCCTACTGAATTTCAGGGACAGGGACACGGAGACACTGGCAAATCAGGATTCTTTCAGTTGTGAGTAGCAGACACCCAATGTGAACTGGCCAAAGAAAACAAAGACTTTGCTGGCTTGAGTTACTAAAAAGTTTAGGATTTAGATCTGACAGCAAGAGGATCTCTCTTCCATTCCTCAGCTCCATTTTCCTGTGTTGGTGTCATTCTCAGGCAGTGGAAAAACAGCAGTTCTAGACTTACATCCTCTCAGCTCAGCAAACTCAGGAAGTAGAACATTTCTTTCCCAAAAGTCCCGGGGCACATTCTCATTGGCTCAGCCTGTGTTACATCCTCTTTGCTGAACCAATCACTGGCTGGGTCATGAGGTGCTCTCATTGGCCAGACCTGGATCATGTGCCTTCCTCTAGCGCCACCCAGCTACGTTAGCCATACCTAAACTCTAGGGTTTCAGCATGGCAGAGGGAAGTTTCCCCAAAGTAGAATCCAGGAGATGTTACTGGAAGGAGAAGAGATGCTTGGCAGACAGAAACAGAGAATTCTACCACAAGAGACTGGTTGGAGCAGTGCTCCCCACTTTATGTAGTTTGATTTTTTAGGTCTGAGATGGGAACTGAGAATCCGTACTTCTAACAAGCTCCCAGGTGACACCAATGCTGCTGGTCTATGGGTCACACTTTGTATTGCAAGAAGCACACTACCTGGAGTGACTGCTTCCCTCAAATTCATTTTGGGTATTTGGTGCCAGCCTATATCCCATTCTTCCATTTGCCTGCTTTGCGCAGTCCTAACTCTCTATACCTTTACACCAGTTCCTCTCTGTATGGGGAACGCTTTTCCACAAAATTCTTTCAGCTTGTCACCCTTTTTAAGATTTTACCTCTTATCACCTCTGAATAATGTTTCCTTACTGAGCGAACCTAAGGTTATGGTTATTCTTCCTCAACTCAAGAATTTTCCAATTTAGACTTGTGAATACCAACCTCGTGGAAGTGTAAAATGTATTTAATCATTCATGAGTCTGACAAGCTCTGCCATGTTCAATTGATTTGTTGTGTATGTAATTCACTGCCCGAGTTTCAATCTGGATGTTTGTCTATATTGAGCACTTCAGTTTTAGGCTATAGGCCATTAAAAGGCATGCAAAAGATCCTTTTAACTTGCTGATATAACACTCAGTAATCAAATGCTGTTCCATTTTCATTATGTCAATGGTGTTTTCAATCCTGTGGGCTTTGCAATCCATGCACCAAATGTTGGCAGAAATACTGAACTCTATTGTGGTATAAAATTTCCGTATCATTGAAAGCTCTGGATTAATGCCTTTATAGTGGAACTTCTGTGAAATTGAGTCCTGAGGCCTGAGTTTTAAACTTGAGGTTGTTCTGAACTTGCTTTGTGACATTCCACAAATCTTGATCAACTCTTCTAGGCCTTGGTACCCAGGCTGGTCCCAGTTGGGTGTTTTGCTGGCTTGTTTTCCTCCCCCAAAGTACCCAGCCCCGGTGAGTCCAACAGCTTCATCCGTGACATTTGGGTAACACCATCTGGGTGGGATATTTGATCCTCTAAGCCTCATGTTACTGATCTGCAAAAAGGAGATAATAGCATCTACCACCTGATAGTTACGGTGGCGGTTACAGATCATGAACGTAGATTGTAATGACTGACAATGGTAAGAAATCAGTTAGCTATCATCATCATCGGTGTGCATTTGAAAATAAGATTTACACAGAATGACTTAACATAAGCAGGAATATTATTCCTTACGTCCACTGAAAAGGACAGTGCGAACATGACCCTGACACCTTCAGTGGGCAGCTGTCTTCTACCTCCACCGCAGGTCCTAGGGATGGATACCAGTAATCAACAGCCCTCAATTCTTTATCCTTGGTTAGATAAAAGAAGCTATCTTCAATTTTATTAATTTCTCTTCTAATTCAATCTGTCATTATTTTGGCCTAAGAATTCATCACGCATTTCCCTTGCACAACTTCTCCGTTGAAAGCCCTGAATTGCAACCTTGTACGTAGGACTGTTTCACGCATTCAGAAACCGGCTCCTTCCATCCACGTGAACATATCTGCTAAGCGGTGCAGAAATTCGCTTTGAGCCAGCAGCCACGACCTTTTATGCAGGAAATGTAAACAAGCCGATGCAGCACCCATCTCGAAAACCAGAGGGTGGGTGCCCCTGAGAGAGGTACGTTTTCCTTGAAGATGCAGAAAAGTTTTGTTCTCGTTCTTTCCACTCCTTGGACAGTCCCTAGTGCTTGCCCAGGACCGGGACTTCTCTTTTGTACCTGCTAATGCCACAAACTGCCAGAACGCGCGGTTCCTGGCCTCCGCCCAGACCCGGATTCTTCGCCCCTCCCGGCGCCCTTGGCTAGGCTGCCGGCCCGCTGCCGGCCGGGGCTTTCTGACCACTCCCGTGTCCTGACCCCGTTTTACTTCTTGGGTCCCCGCCGGTGCCCTCTGGCTGGAACCCTGGGGCGGAACTAGAAGTTGGACGTAGTCACCCCTGCCCGTCGCCTTCTCCACTTGCCGAAAGATAAAAACCCGGGCTGCGGGGAGGCGGGGCGGGAGTACGGCAACCGGGAAAGCGAGGACGGAGAGCGGCCCGGCCCCGCAGGCCCCTCCGCCGCCGCCCGCCCCGGGCCCGCGCGCCCC